CTTGTCTCCGCGCTGACAGCAGAGAGCCTGAACCACAAAATCACGACCTGAGCTGAAGTCCGACGCTTAACTGACTGAGCCACCCAGGCACCCTTGGCCTCTGCCATTTAAGAAGGCGAGTTCTAGGTACTGAGTATAAACCCCTCCTGAGCGTTAGGTCAGGCGCACAAAACTCCGTAAGCAGTAGCTCTAGAGAATTCAGGAAATGTAGAAGGAGGTTTGAAAAGCATGCCAGTGGTGGATTTAGGAATGGATTCTTTTAAGAAACATATTGTAGGGGCAGGTGAATGGCCTTTGAGAAGGGCAGTTTTTCTAGGCTGAGTGGATTCATTTCCTTGTTGTCGAAGATAGAGTCCTATCTGGTGAGGTTTCATTCACACCGCCTCTATAGTCTGGGAATGTACTGTTTTCCCGTCAGGGGGCTTTGCTGAACACAGGAAATACAGTTTGTAGGCGGGTCTCAGGAAATACCTGCAGGCTTTTGCGAGTCTGAGCGGCTGGGCCCAGGGATTTAGGACAAGGGCTTCGCAAAGTGCCCAGAGTGAGCCTGGCGGCTTCGAGAAGGATAGCGAGCTTCCTGAGCGCTGGCCATGTGCCGGGCTCACGTCCGAGGGACAGGCCTCCCCAAACTGATGACAGTGAGGTATTCATGGCAGCGCAGCCCCCAGGAGTCCAGTGGGCACGGCTGGAGCTGAAGACGCAGCACAGCGTCCAGACACAGCCACCCGGAGGCTGTGGCCTCGGGGAGCAAGGCCCCGGACAGGCAGACTCTCGGGAAGAGCTTCCTCTCAGAAGACCTTCCCATAATTTCACTAACCTCGTGGTTATTTATAGCAGCGTTGGAAGCTTTTCAGAGCCATATTTTTAAGAAAAAAGAAAATTTGACACAATAGCCAATGTGAGTGGCAGATGAGGACCGGGGCGTTTTTCCTTCCTTCCACGGGCCCTAGCAGGCTGTCCGTGTCACCCGAAGCGTCCCCCACACTTGTCAGTCTTGCCTCTCACCCTGTTTCGTGTTCGTTCGATGCTGTGTTTGTTCCTTCTATTCTGTTTTCCTGTAGCTCTCTATCCTGCCAGAGTTGCTTCCTCCCTCTCTAAGCCAGTACTCAGACTGTTTTGCATAAAACATCCCCGTTAGCATTTAGAGACTAGTAGCTAATTTTTTTTTTTAATTCAGGGATCCACACTCTTTTTTTTGTAATGTTTTATTTATTTCTGAGAGAGAGAAGCATGAGCAGGGGAGGGTCAGGGAGAGAGGGAGACACAGAATCTGAAGCAGGCTCCAGGCTCTGAGCTAGCGGTTAGCACAGAGCCCGACGCGGGGCTTGAACCCATGATCCATGAGATCATGACCTGAGCCAAAGTTGGAAGCTTAACCAACTGAGGCACCCAGGTGCCCCGACTAGTAGGTAATTTTAAAAGTCTTCTGGGCTCTTCAAATCTTAAAATTATGTGGGGGCAAAAGAAATTTTAAGCCTGTTTTTCTGGGGCCTCATACAGTGGTTTTCAGGGGGTTTTTTTTGTTTTGTTTTTTTTTTTTTTTTGAGAGGGAGAAAGTGCAATCAGGAAGGGGAGAGAGAGAATCCCAAGCAGGCCCCATGCTGTCAGTACAGAGCCTGACACGGGGCTCAAACCCAAGAACTGTGAGATCATGACCTAAGCCTAAATCAGTTGTCAGCCGCTCAAACAACTGAGCCACCCAGGTGCCCCTTCAGACTTTTTTGAACACATGCCCTACCAGCCAGGCAGATTTATGCCCCCACCACCCCTTTCTGTAGCTTCTCTTGTAAAACAACAGGTGGGTCTGCGTGTGTGTTTTCTGGCTGTGAAATTTTCCTATAGTGAGTATTTCTTTTCAAACTTAACATGTCCCTGCTGTTTGCCCCTATTTCTAGCGTTTGATCGGTCACTCTAAGTGACACCCTTCTGTCTTTCTTAAGAATCGCCAGCCTTGGGACACCTAGGCGGCTCAGTAATTAAGCATCCAACTTCAGCTCGGTCATCTCACAGTCCGTGAGTTCGGGCCCCACCATCAGGCTCTGTGCTGACAGCTCAGAGCCTGGAGCCTGCTTCGGATTCTGTGTCTCCATCTCTCTCTGCCCCTCCCCTGCTCATGCTCTGTCTCTCTTTCAAAAAATCAACGTTAAAAAAAATTTTTTTTTAATATAAAAAGAATCACCCAGAAGTGGCAGTTCATTCATCCATGTATCCAGTACTGTATTAACTAAATCCAACTTACTGTACACCAGAGCAGAGGAAAAGCCTGGTCCAGGTAGAATTACAGTCCGGTGGGGGACACTGCACTAAACAAACAAAGGTAAACGATTACAGATGAAAGTAAGACAGGAGTATGTAATCCTGTGCGGAACACTGATCCCTCCATCTCTGAAACGCTGGCTCCGGAGGCAGGATTTTCCTTGGTTTGCGGTCCCAGGACGACTGTGGTCTGACCGCTCCTGAAATCAGGAACACCCACAGCTTTGCTCAGAGACAGAGCCCCATTGGTGCCTCGTCTTTGGCAATTTTTGTTCCCCAGACGGGGTTTGGAACTGATGGAATGACTTTTAGCTGCATTGCATCAGACGATCCCTAGGTGGCGATAAAGAGGAAAGTACTAGAATTTCCTCATTGTCTATTCTCTCTGCTCCATGTATTTCCAAGAGGAAAGTTACACTTCCTACTACTGAGTGATTGCTGTTGCCAGTGTTGTTTTCCTCCGTACACAGCGCACGAAGCGCAGGCCTGGCTCTCGGGAACAGCGGTGTGACGCGGGCGAGCACCTCGCCGGGCCTGAGACCGGCCCTCCGCGGCCTCACACCGCATGACGCTACCCTGCAGAATGGGGGCAATGATGAAAAATTGACGGCAAGGGCTAATACGAGCACATTTTGAAAAGTTACAACTCTTTGTGCACATGGAGGGCGATAGTAACAGTCGCTTTTTTGTTAACAAAATTGTTTCTGAAACTGCAGTGACTGGTAATTCGGGTGCTAATTTGGAGGAGCAGTAAGGCTTCCATCACATATCACGTCAGCTGAACAGACAGGCTAAATTGTATAGCTCGGGCCATTTTATCCTAAAGCAGAAGGTTTTTTGTTTTGTTTTGTTTTAAAGTTTATTTTTGAGAGAGAGAGAATGAGCAGGGGAAGGGCAGAGAGAGAGGAAGACACAGAATCCCAAGCAGACTCTACATTGTCAGCACGGAGCCTGATGTGAGGCTCGAACACACGAACCTCGAGAATGAACCAAGGTTCGAGCTTAACCGACCGAGCCCCAAGCAGATGGTGATCTTACTGGGGTATCCGTGTTGACCTCCAAGGCGAGACTGTCTCTGAGAGTCACTGGTGCAAGTCAGTGCTGGTACTGACCAGGAATCAATCACGGGAAATATCAAGATTTCTTTTACCAAAGAAGGAAGCCAGCAGTAAGTAAGCTTTTCTTTTAATACACAGAATGTAAAAAGCTTTCAGAGGGGCGCCGGGTGGCTCAGTCAGTTAAGTGTCCAGCTTCGGCTCAGGTCATGATATCACCGTTTGTTGGTTTGACCCCCGTGTTGGGCTCTGTGCTGACAGCTCAGAGCCTGGAGCCTGCTTCAGATTCTGTGTCTCCCTCTCTCTCTGCTCCTCCCCTGCTCACATTCTATCTCTCAAAAATGAATAAACTTTTTTTTTTAATTTTTAAAAAAGACTTTGGGGAAAAAAAAAAAACAAGGATGCCTGGGTGGCTCAGTCGGTTAAGCATCCAACTTCAGCTCAGGTCATGATCTCATGGTCCGTGGGTTCTAGCCCGCATCAGGCTCTGTGCTGACAGCATCAGGCTCTCTCTCTGACCCTCCCCTGCTCATGCTGTCTCTCTCTCTCTCTTAGGAATAAATTTAAAAAAAAAAAAAGAGTTTGTAGCCTTTCAGATCACCAGGTACCTACTATCCTTGCTCAAACTTTGGCATAGCCTTAGTTCTTAGCCTTCTTTGATGTCTTTCCTTTTTTTTTTTTTTTTTCATGCTTGCAGAAATAGTTGTGCATGAACACAGTTAAACCGTGTATCTGGTAATACTCCATAAAGAGGTTTGTCAGAGTGCCTGGCATACAGCGTCTGGCACACACACCAGGCACGTCACTGTCACTTGGAAGAAACAAAACTAATACCATAATGCTAATCCCATAACTTCTCTCAAAAACAGACTCCACATTTATTCCTTAAAACATTAGTTCCAAAAAGTCAAGTTTTACCGTAGTGGGTGGGTGGGTGTGTGTGTGTGTGTGTGTGTCTGTCTGTCTGTCTTTGTGGAATATTAATATTATTACTGCCATCCTGTCTCCATCTCTGCAGAAACTTGAGTCTTTTTTTAAATCTATAGAAATAAGTGTCTAATTTATATAACTTTTTCAGACTTCCAGTATCATACGTGGTTTATGATTTCTAGAACAGTTCAGAATCGGAGGGGAAAAGAGTTTTTGGATTTCTCTTTTTTTCCAAGTAATTCTCTACATTGGATCCTTCATTCTTGGTAAAAGTCATTAAAAATTTTTTTCACACGAAGTTTGCCGACTAAAAACGGTGTAGAGACAAAAAATCCTGTGTCGTGACTATTTTCATGTTTCGCCGTGTGGCCCACCAAAGGGTTAATATTCTGTTCTTCCTCCGTGGGGCTTTGTTCCTTCTTCCCCCATGGATTTTATGATGGTCCCAGTAAGTTGTTCATTTAAAAACGTATGTTTGATTTTCCCCGTGGTACCCAAATGAAGATCTAACCCCGTTAGCCTTCCATGTGATTGGCGTTTCCTTAAAAGCACACACTCCCCTTTCTTTCCTTGTGATTTTTTTTTTTAACCAGCAATTTGGAACCCCCTGTTTGTGAGCGACTGAGCCGATGGGATTGCCGTATCCAGCTCTGAGCTCTGAGTACCGTACCACATTTGGTGTGTGAAAGTAACTGCATACTAGCTACTCTGTCTGTGAGACTGGGATTAACCTTCCTGCCCCATTCGATTCCTTTCTAGGTCCAACTGGCCCACCTTCAACACTCCCTCTAAGCACCCAGACCTCTAGTGGCAGCTCCACCCTGTCCAAGAAGAGGCCTCCTCCCCCACCACCCGGACACAAGAGAACCCTGTCCGACCCTCCCAGCCCACTACCTCACGGGCCCCCAAACAAAGGCGCAGTTCCTTGGGGTAAGTCATCCTGCAGTCAGGGCCCTCGCTGCCCGGGGCCAGGCAGCGCGTGGGGCGCACTGGGCAGTGGACACCTAGCGCCTCGAGCAGACGGACCAGACTGCACGGGCCGAATAAGGGCTTGGATACATACGGGTGTGATTGTACTTAAGGCCAACAAACAGCTTGGACAATAGGCTCATCTAAAAACCAGAATGATACGTGCAGTGCCAGGCATTTCCAGTGCCCCTGATACAGAATCTCTTCCAGCCACTGTAGCAGCCCTGCGCAGTGGGTATCGCCAGCCTGGTTTACAGATGAGCAAACAGAGGCTCAGGAAAGCTGAGTAATCCACTCTCAGGACAGCCAGAATATAAGTCAGAAATTTTTCTCCAAAATGAATCAGACATAGTCACTTCTCACCTTTAAAGCTTTCCTGTTGTGCTTCAGGCTGAATGCCAGCTCCTTGCCCCGGGACCTGGGGCGCCACACCCCTCAGCACCTCCCCCTCCGCACGGGCCACGCTGCCTCTTCACAGGGCGTCGGGCACACAGGCTCTCCCTCCCGAGGCTGGTCCGCTGCCTGCGACCGTGTCGTGTGCTTCGAGAGGCTGGCTCCCCTTTGTGCTTCTGGGCGTGAACGGTTGTGTTCCTAGCTCCCGTCTCTAAAGGAACTTCCCCCCACCGTTCCGTTCGGAGCACCTCATCACCGTGGACAAGTACTCTGCGCTTGGCTTCTCGGTCTCTCTAGAATGTGAGTCCCACAATAGCAGGGATTTTTCTGCTCTTTTGCATTTGCATGGCCTAGAATCGAGCCCGCGTATGGTAGGTCCTCAGGAATCGCTTGAGAACGTAACGGATAGGTGTTCGCAGAGTCCCTTAGCGACGTTGGCTGCAGGCAACAGATTCACATTCACGAGGCACGTAATTTCCACCCTGTGCCCAAGGAGCGTGCTCACTTGCCCGCATCACCTTCTGCCAATGACTTTCACTGCGGCTTCTCTTTCCTTTGGCTCGAGAGCGAAACTGATGGGTGATGCGGCCGCATGCCTTACAAGGCCTCTTCAGAAGCCGGTACTAGGGGTCGTGAGCCTGTGGAGCCTCTGGAAAAAGCCACACTTCCCCATTTGCAGGTTGGCACCGTCTGTCATCTGGCCACAGCGCCACGGCGTGTGTGCGAGGAGGTCTGTGCGTTCGGCCATTCAGTCCGCACGCGCACGTGCCTGTTGTGGGGGCCTCTCAGCCCATCTGTACAGGGAGCCCCCGGTCTCGTGAGGGAGTGTTCTTTACTGTTAGGGCTCACGTGTCCATGCAGCCCTGTGTCAAAATCATGTCAAACTGCAGGGACAGCTTCGCGGAGCAGCCCTGGAGGAGCTGAGGAGTCAGGCCCCTGGTGAGACGAGTCAGGGAGGAACAGTGGACGATTCGCACGGCCACACACCGGTACCCTGAGTGTGCCCTTGACCTGTCCACAGTCACCCTCCGGGGACTTGAGGCATCCCCAGATTTCACCCAAGAGGACTTTCTAGACCCAAGTGATGTGCCCTCGGGCACACCTGTGCAGATGCTCAGCTCACAGATCATAAACTTTGATCCCGTTGTTGAATCGGGTTTTATTTCTGTGTAAAGTTCATAGTGCCTGTGTTCACCACACAGGCTCAGGCGGACTGCAGTTAATTGTACGAAATCTGTTTTCTGGCTTAGGAATCCTCACTTTCTTAGATTTCCTTTCACATCACTCAGCAGGGCTAGTAGCTGCTGGTTTTCTGTGTGTTTTGTCTTTTATTTTTGTGGACAAGGGGCGTTTTTTGTTAAGCAAAGTTAACACTTTAGAGGAGAGTTCGTGCCACCAACAGGGAGCCTTTCGAAGACGTGGGCGCCAAGCCGTCTGCTGGCCACTCTCCCCGGCTAGAGCCTCCCACCTCCAGGCAGCCAGGAGGGACAAACGTCAGGATCTGTGGCATGGTGACAGTTCTGCACATCACAGGCTTTGCTGGTCACTCACAGACAACCCCAAATAGTAATTCCTGGGCTCTCGGGGTCGTTCTTTCTATGCTGGTGTGTGCACATGCGTGAGGTCTATATAAAGGCACCTACAGACATAGATTTGGTAAGGGCTTGGACTCTCCCTGGCTCTCTCCCACTGACATTGTGTTCCAGAAGCCAGAGGCAGGATCCAGACTGGTTATTACTTTTTTTTAGCAAGTTTTTTTTTTTTTTTTTTTTAATGATTATTTAGTTAGAAGGAGAGAGCGAATCCCAAGCAGGCACCCCACTGGTAGTCCAGAGCCCTACTTGGGGCTCGATCTCATGACCATGAGATCATGATCTGAGCTGAAGTTGGACGCTTCACCAGCTTAGCCCCCCAGGCACCCCCAGACTGACCATTGGTAACACATGTGGGGGGTTGGACCCCTAAGCGCCAGTTACGGTGCCTACGGCTTCCATCCATGGACCATCTTTCCAGTGCTCTTTTGTTCCCCTAAACCTTCCATGTCTCCCCATCCCGAGCTGGGGGCCTTTGTGGACTGTCTGAGACCAGGATCTGGGCCTAGTTGGCCGGGGGGTTTACCAGCATGAGGACCAGGTGCAGTTCCAGCCTCCTGTCTCCCCCAAACCTCAGGTACCTACCCCGTGAAACGCAATGTGCCCGCCAGGTTCCCGGACTACGTTCTTTTCTCTAAGATCTGAGCCTTTGCTCATAATGTACCTCAACCTGGAATATTCTACTCACGTGTCCTAATGCCTAGTCATGCTTCGAGATCTGTTCTCCATGGATGCACTTGCACAGCCTTCCCGGTCCAGCCACCACCCCACCCCCACTCTGACCCCTCAGCATAGGGACGGCCACAGAGCTTCTGAGTGCGCCTCCCTTCCCCGGCCCATTGTGAACTCCTTACACGGGATGTGCTGTCTGCCACAGAGCAGAGTGCTCCGGCGTGGACCCCGTGCCGTACCCAGATTCTAATCCACTTCTACCATTGGTAGCCCAGTGGCTTTCAGCAGGTGTTTTTTAATTCCTCCATTCCTCAGTTTCTCTGGCTGTGAAATGGGGCTAGTTAATAGTACTTATCTAATTGGTTTTTAAGTTTTATGTAAGTAATCTCTACATCCAGCGTGGGGCCAGAACTCACAACCCCAAGACTAAGAGTCTCACACTCCCCTGAGCCAGCCAGGCACCCCAGCACTTCCCTGATCTTAACCGCAGTTCCACACAGTGGGAAATGCTGGGACCCTGACTTTCAGAACACTGGGACACAGCAAGATGCAGTCACCTGGCCGAGTTCCCACGGCCAGTCCTCGGGGAGCCCGTGTGGCTGGGAGAGCTACACTCCTCCCCTCCCGTGCTCCATGGCGTTCTGCACGCGGTAGCTCAGTGATTCCAGGCCATTCCGCATCCCCACCTGGCTGTGTGTCCCCTCGTCTGTCTGTAGCACGGAGCCCTCGGGGAGGGTCGCTTCAGGCCTCCTTCCTGTCAGAATCACAGTGGCCACGGCCCCCAGAGTAGCGCAGGCGTCACGCTGCTGAAGTCCCGCTCCTGTGCTGAGTTCAGCCACCTGTCTCAGGGCACTGCCGAGGCAGCTTTTGATTACAAAACATGGTGGCTTGTGGGCGGGTTTGGGTTTTATGGGGAGGTTGGCTTTTGAAGTGGCATATCATTAAACCTCTTCGGAGATAATTTGTTTATAACCTACTTTATAATAGGCCAACACATATTTAAATTAATGAAGAAATGAGAACAAAGGAAGATAAAGGCCAGGAGTATGATCTCTTCACAAAGTGTGTAATAGAAAATCACATACAGTGGCTGGAAATAGACCACAGATTTGACACTGAGCTTCTTACCAGCAAGAGCAAAAAAAACAAAAATCAAAAAAAGCCTGTCCAGTTTGTGGTGGCTGTAAGATTAACCCACTTCTCATTCTTGAGTCTTGTAATTAATATCTAAGAGCAACTTACCCTAAGACCTCCGTCCTTCGGCAGGTATTCAGAGAAGTCTCTATAGCACATGCCATAGGAAACCATAACGTGCACTAAAAGAACATTCTGGAAGCCTGAGTTCTGATCTCTGTTCTACCAATTCCAAGCTAAGTGATCTCGGGAAATCATTTAGGTTCCTTATCTTGGTTCACCAGGATTTAAAGTTATATAAGCTTTTTTAATTGTAGAGTAGATACTAGAAGAAAAACCATACCACAAATCGATTCACTTCTCCTGTATCAAGGCCAGAACTTTGGGTGAAAGCCTCCGTATTTGAAACGTCTACTTATTGGAGCAGGATCAGTTTCAAAAAGAGCCTCTGGACAGAAATGTTTTGTTCTTCCCTTTTCTTGGGTTTCTCAACATATTTTCACGTCAGCTCCCTAACCCCATTGTGCATGCAGTTCTAGAAGTTAATAATGGCGGCTACCATTTGTAGATTGTTTCCCCTGTCCTGGTGCTCTGCTGCTCCACCATCAATGTCCTTAGCCATCACAGCCACCACGTAAGACAGACTGCCGTTGTCTCCATTCTGTCGATGAGAAAGTTGAAGCACAGAGTGGTCAAATGCTTGTAGAGGATCACAGAGCCACGAACTTCAGAGCTGGTATCAAGGCTCATGTGTTTATCCGCCATTGCAGAAGACGCCTGGAGCCTGTGTGTCATTCACTGCTGGAGCCAGTGCCCTCCTCTCTCTCCATAAACTCTTGGCCCCCGGTGTCAGAGCTAAAGTCCTTGACCCCGAGTCTCGGCCACAGCTTCCCTACCTGCTGGCCCAGCACCTGTGTCCTGCTCGCTCTTACACCCACCTTGTGTACACGAGAGTCCTTTTCCAAGCTGCATGAAGAGAGAAAAAGGGATGCAACTGCTTCTGTGTGTTTGCTCCTTCCTTGAATACTATCCTTTTTTCAGAAATGTGTCTAAGCCACACTTTTCTTCCCAGACACGGCTCGTGGCCTCTGTCTGGCCACGAGGTTGATGGGATTCCTGTCTGCCAGACCGCAGAGGCCTTCCCACCAAGTGCGGGGGGGATGCTGCTGTGGGCAGAGAAGCACGTGGGTCCTGCCGGCTTCCTTCAGCAAGAACGTAGTGACTCCTCCGGGCCAGAGACTGGACTGGCCAGGGGGTCACAGAGATGACCAAGGACAGGCCCTGTCCTCACTATTTCTGTTGTGTTCTGTCAGAGAGCTGTGAGTAATCGTTACCATGTGTGTCAGGTTCCCTGTGGCGCCGCACTGTGCCCTGCACTCCATAGTTTATTTCTTGGGACGCTCAGGCCATCTAGTGCAGTAGATACGATTTGGTTTGCATTATTTAGATGCGGGGACTGAGACTTAGTAGAAAAAGCAGAGTAGTACAAACCCCTACCCCCTGGGTGACGGTAGAGCTGGAGTTCAAAGCCAGGCTTTTCTGGCTCCGAAATTTGTACCGTAACTACTGCTCTGTGAGTACTGGTTGTAGCTAAATGGAAGGAGGGAATGGTCAAGTCCAACTAGGAGGAATTCTCAGAAGTTGACTTTAGAGGTACTCTTTGCAGTTTGTGTGGGAGTTCAGCATGGGTGGGAGGGGTGAGGTGTCACAGAGAAAAGAGAGGGACAGAGTTACCGAGGCATGAAAACACAGCGCCTTTGGAGATGGAGAGCGCCCTCAAGTGGCCAGAGAGCAGGGTCAAATGAGGACACTGGACACAGGCTGTGGGGGTCGGGCCACGGCCCCTGACGTGACGGCTTATCTGTGTGACAGCAGAGTAGGTGGCCACAAGCAGAGCAAGGGGCTTCCTGCAATCCTAATGGTCTCGTGGTCAGTCTTGCTCATAGCAGGCTGAAGAATCACTGGTTTGGAATGTTTTCTACCCGGAAAGGGAATTAACAGATACCGTCATTTACCCTAACTCAGAGCTTTTCTCTGACATTTTGAATATTATGGCTCATTTAAGTCTGAAAGTGTGAGATTGGCTAGCCAGTCCTGAAGAAAGAACTGCCCACCTGAACAGCATTCACAGCTCGGAGGACTGTGCGAGAGGCCCGCCAGAGGAGTCCTTCGGTGTTAGTGATGGCTCGTGGGAATACGCGGACGGTTGGAAGGAGCATCTTACTAAAATAAAGCTGTGTTTCAGAGCCTCGGGTCCTGGTAACCCCAGTTTCTCTTTCTTCCTGCATCAGCGTCCTAGAGTTCTAGAAAGTTCTGTCCAGGAGGCCCCGTCTTTGCCCTGTGCCGGCCTCCCCCTATCCAGGAGGTTCGGTGGGACGGGCACGGAGGGAGGGTGGCAGTTGAGTACAGATCCTGGCAGCAGGCTGCTCCATTCTGTATCGCAGCCCTACCCTACCAGCTGTTTGACCTTGGCCTCGTGTTTCTTCATAAACAAAATGGCGGGGAATCATACTACATATGCCATAGACGTAATTCCTGTGCTGTACGTGTACCTTACCTCACGTGCCCGGTAAACGGTAGTCGCTATTGATATTACCGTCGGGTCATCATGACGGGTAGTGAGAAGCCTGTAGACTCAGTGGTCAAGACTTCCAGGTATGTCATGCAGCCATGTGACGTGCAGCCATTGTTCACGTCACTATGTTTCCTCATATTTAAAATGAGTGAAATGACGCCAGCCCTCCATGTCATTTGGAGGAGGAAAAGCATCTGGGCAGCTGTAGGTGCTGTGGCGCAGACACACCGCCTAGGGCACAGCTCTGCGCTCTCCCCCATCTTGTCCTCGGCACCCACCCACCCCTGTTTCTGAGCCTCCTCAGCCAGCCCCTTCCCAGCAGCACCTGGGAGATATCGAGGGTTTCTAGGGGGAGGAAAGGGACCTTTGGAAAGGCAGGCAAGGAAGTGAGCTAGAGCCCCAGAGACTCCCCCCCCCCCCCAGGTTCCCAGGGAGTCCTCCAGGAGAGCCTGGTGGCCTGGGGCACTGTGCTCCTCCCTCCGCGGGATGGGTCACAGAAGAGCCCCCTTTGTGCTAGCCAGGCTCCCTGCCTTCTGGACACAGACACGAGTCTGGTTCTGCGGCTCCGCCATGAGAAGGTGGCTCGCTGTTCAGGTGCACGCCCCCCTAGAGGACTCTCTGGGTTCCCTGTACGAGTGAGACACGCTTTCTCATAGCACCCAGCCCCGTGCGGCGCTCCCCTCATCCCACATCGCTAGTGTACTTGGTGCGTGTGCATCTCCCGGGCCAGGCACGGACCCTGCAAGAGCAGCGACGCTTCGTTTCTCCTGTGCTTCCTGCTCCACATTCATGCCTTGCACACAGTAGACGCTTAATAAGTGTTATATTTGAGTGAATGATGACGGAAGTGACTGAGAGTCCTGGCCACTTATCACCACCCAGCTGACTGTGTCCACATGCACTCACGCAGCGCGCGCGTGCACGCACACACACACACTCTCTCTCACACACACACACACACACACACACACACACACACACACACACAGTGGGTTGTGTATTTTTTCTGAGTCTGGCTCCCAGGGCTAGCCTCCAGGCATGGGCCTCTCTGGGTGAGTTGGAGGTTTTATTCTTCACTCCCTGCCCCCAAGCTGAAGACAAGATCCTGAGGCAGCGGGACGTCCCCAAAGCCCTGTGGTCTCAGAGGCCTTGCCGGGGAGCAGGCTACCCATCTTGGCAACATACTCCTTTAATAGCAAGGAAAACAGTGTCAGAACCCAAACCAGTGCTTCGGGTTTTTTTGTTTTGTTTTAAAGTTAGAAACGCATACCGTTCTAGCTCGAGTTTTTTTTTAATTCCTTTCTGGAACCAGTGGGGTGCCTGTCTGCGAAGTCGTGCATCCCTTTATTCCGTCTTCCCGTCTGCAGATGATGTGACCCTGCCTCTGGTTTTCCCCGCAGGGAACGATGTAGGTCCGTCGTCGTCAAGTAAGACCGCAAACAAGTTTGAGGGACTATCTCAGCAATCGAGGTAAGGCGCTCCCTGCTTTCTCCCTCGGTGGGGATCGCAGGGGGCTGTTGTGAATTCTAGGAACGGGGTTTAGTGGCAGTCTACCCAAAGTGTGGCCCACCAGCTGGTGCTGGTCGTGACGAGCTCAGTGCTTACTGTGGGCCCGCTCACATGTCCCGTGCCCAGCCGTGCGAGCAAGCCGCTCTCACCCCGCACATCTGCAGACCAGCCTGTCGCTCAGCACGGCGCTCCTCCATCCACGGTCCCCAGGAGGGGTGGGGGAACAGACCCCTCTTCTTAAGTGTCACAGAGTCTATCAAGATGAGGTTTTAATTTTAGTTTTTTAACAAGTAGCTTTGTTTCGTTACTTTCGCTCTTGAATCCTTTTTGCAGACTTGGGAATGAAGGCCATCCTCGGGGAAACCCGACCGAGGTTTTCACACATAGCAGTGTGACTCTTCCCGGGGGCCCCGTCTGTGAGGTTTTCTTAGGCTGAAAGCCATGCGCCTTCGCTCCGTCCTTTCCCTGAACAGGATACTTCGGGGGCTGTTCTGTGGGGAGCGTGTACCCCGTCCCAGTGAGAGGGTTTTCCTTAGAGGCCCCGCCTGGGACAGAGACACAGAGCCACTTCCAGTCCCGAAACCTCCAGGACATCAGCTGAGGGCCGGGGTTGCTTTCCAGAGTTTATCAAATGAGACAGAAACAAAGTCCTCATTTCTTTTAGCGCCCCTGCCCTGTTTGGTCTTCACAGCTCCGCAAGATAGGCGGCTGCTATTTCCTCGGCGTTACAGATGCGGACACGGCCCGAGACGTTGAGAGGTTAAGTGGTGGCAGACGTCAGAGCTGGACGCGGACAGCCGTCCCCCAGCCTCTGGGTCCCATCGTGCCCTTCCCGTGCGTCCCGCCTGCCATTCCCGCCCCCTTCCGCCCCGCTCTGGGGGACGCAGACGGCAGCCCCAGGCTCTTCTTCCAGGGGGGCAGGGCGTCTGACGCCCGCAGAGTGCTTTTTGGACAGAGTTGGCGGCGCACACACACGCGCGTGCACCCCGCGGCCCTGTGTCCATTTCCGCAGGGAGAAGGCCGGGCCCACGGGCGTTCAGCGCTGGCCCCGCGCCTGCTCAGGACCAGCGATGTGCTCACGTCAGTGACCGGCAGGCGTGCTTCCCGGCAAAGATGCCGAGGCCGGACGTGAGAAACACACGCCCTAGAGGTGTTTGAGGCAGAGCCCTGTGTGTTCACGCTTTCCAGAGTCGGAGGGACTCCGCGGCCCTCCGTGGCCCGGGGGCCCGGGATCTAGCAGCTGAGGAGACAGCAGTTAGGGCCCGAGGGGGTGAGGCCTGGGCGGGGGCCGAGAACACGTGCACTCCGTCAGCTTCTTGGACTCTGTGTTGTTCGGTTGGCTTCGCTTTCCCTGTTCTTTGAAATGCAGTTAGGAGAGGAAGAGGAACAAGCCATTCTTAGGACATCGTAGGACAGAAAAAGACAAATGAGAGCTTGAAAGGGGCCCTTGGCACCGAGGACCCGGGTGCTGGGCCGCTGTTGCTGTCGGGCCTGTGTGCTCGGGTGTCCTGAGAGTAGCTCCCGGCCCTCGCTGAGGGGGAAGCCCGGGCTCCAGCCGACAGCTGCCGCCGGTGGCAGGGGCGTGGGGGGCGGAGAACATTTGATTATTGGGGCCCCCTGGAGTGGACTCTGTTCCCGGGACTTGGGTGGCTTCCCCGCTCATTGTGTAAGTGCCCCAGGAGGAAGGAGAGCTCCAGAGCCTGGGGGTCTGTCTGCTCTGGGGCCGTGGAGGACGTCAGGGCTCTGCGCTGGACGGAGAGGGGTCTGCATTTACGTGTCCCCTCCCCACCCCGGCCCCGCCAGCCTTGGGGCCCTCTGCTGGTCACTGAAACTCCACAGACGTCACTTCTTCCTCACCTGGCGGTGGGGCAGCGAGACTTAGGTTGAGAGCTCCGTATCCCACGAGAAGGCTGACAGGTTCTCTGGGGACAAGGTCATGCCAGGTGCTCTCAGTCGGCACCTCTGTGGACGGGTGTCAAGGGGGAAGGGCAGGACCTGTCCGGGGCCCTCGCCAGCCACACAGACTTGAATTGTGGAAAATAGACCGTAATCTTTTGTTAAAGAAATTTTGGAAGGGTTTTTAGAGAATTCAGCAAACTCCTGTGATTTCCTTGAATGTTCTACCGCTAATGATATTCTAGCATTGTCAGGTTCTAAATGATTCTTATTTATTAATTAGCACCGGCTCTGCAAAGACTGCCCTTGGTCCAAGAGTCCTTCCTAAACTACCTCAGAAAGGTAAGACCCCTGTCTCTCGTGTTCACATAAATATAATGTCACTGTGCCCTCTGGGGGACAGGCGTCTCTGTCTCTTTAGTTCGTGGCTTGGTCCCAGAGGCCTGAAGCAGCACCCGGTATGTGGTAGGTGCCCAATAAGCGTTTGTTCAGTGAAGAAGGATATTTATAAACTCAGACTTTGTGGTTAGCAGAACACCGTGCTTTTCCTAAAAGCCACAGTCCTCTGGAAGGCTGAGATCAGCCCTAGGATTGGGGGTGCCCCTCCATCTCTTGCGCGCGGTCAGAGAGACCTGGGAACCGGTACTAGCTCTCCCACTCACTCGCCCTGCGGCCTGGACAGCAGACCTGGAAGCTTCCTGAAGCCTCCGATTCCTCACGTGTAAGGGTGGGTAAGAACACCTGCTTCGTGAGGCTTCGTGGGGACGAGATGAGGTCATGCTTCGGAAAGCCCCTCGCTGCTGGGGTGGCATCCCTCATGCAAAGTAGAGGGACTCGCGCTCTGAGCAGTACAAGAAAGCAGTGTCTCTAAGTGCTGCCTCCTCGCCAAGCAAAGACACTCGGTCCTTTGACGGAATCTTCTTTAACCCTGATGAGCTTTCCATCCGTAAGACCCACACGTCCTTCGCCTTATCTGCTCCCTCTTCTGTGTTCCCAGCCCGGGCTTGGGAGTTGCGCGAACACCCCCAGGCGTGCTCAGTTCATTCTGTCCGTTGTCACTGAGGCCCATGAGGCCAGAGGGCCCACGTCAGGTGCAGGTGGAGGCTCAGGACTCGTGGCCGCTGCATGGGTTTTGGTGGCCATGGCAAGACCTTTGACCCCAGTAGTCAAAGTTTGGGACTCGTGGCGGAAGCTGGGATCCACCTGCTCCAGAGGCCTTTAAAGTGACAACTTTGGAGCTGGCCAGGCTCCTGGGTGGTACGAGGGAGTCCCAGGCGGCTGCCAGGTCATTCTCTGTGGAACACAAAGGAAGCTTCCCCTGGATACAGAGTCTTTATCTCAAGTCATTGTTTTATTGGGGTTTTGTTTTGTTTTTAACTTCTGCCCAAAGGGCCGTCCTGATCCCAGAGAAGTTTGAGCTGTTTCCTGGCCCTGTTGCACTTCTCCATAACCGGCCGCACACCCAGCCCCGCGCTCTTGCCCAGCGATCACGCCCCACCACCGATCCCCTCCACTTTCCCACCCAGACACCCGCGCCGCGCCCACCGCCGCCTTCTCACTGTCCCACACCCCCTCCTGAGCCAGCCTCTGCGCAAATGCTCTCCCTCACCTTCCGCGCCCCTTCCACGCTGGCTGCCCGCTTGCCCAGCTCTGGGCTGGCTCCACGCACTTGGACGTGCCAGAGGAGCACAACCAGACGGCGGCTCTGCCCTGCGTCCTGACCGCTGAGCTCCCATGGGCCTCCGGTGCGACCTGGCGCCCTCCATCCGCGGGGTCCCCCGACTCGCCACCACCCTGGCCCTCCTCTCCTTTACACGCCCCCCCCCCGTTCTCCTCAAAACAGCTTCGCTTCTGCTTTCTCCGTGAACAGGACGTGAGCCCATTCCACTCCACGCCCCTGCACTTGGGACCCAGGAGGCGGCAGGCCGTGTCCTAGGGCACCCCCCCGCCCCGTGCTTACGCACTAGCCCCACCCCCTCCCCAACTCTGGAATGGAGTTCTGGTTCATGCGCTCTCTCTCAAAAATTAAAAACTTCTTAATCCTTTCAGATGCCCAATTTACATATCTAATTATCTCAGATACTTTTTTTTTTTTTTTTAATTTTAGAGAGCTCTCAATTGGGGAAGTGGGGGAGGTAGCGGGGCAAGAGAGAGAGAGAATCCCAAGCAGGCTCCACGCTCAATGCAGAGCCCAATACAGGGCTCGATCCCACAACCCTGGGATCATGACCTGAGCCACAATCAAGAGTCAGATGCCCAACCAACCAAATCTCCCTGGCTCCTCCCCATGTTTTTTTCTTTAACAAATTGTTTAAAACAAGATTGAATAAAATAAGGTCCACACGTTACAGTTGACCGATTTGTCTCTTGAGTGTCTTAGTCTAACCGTTTCCCTTTCATGTCTCTCCTTCCCTGGTAATTTATTGTGAAGGAACTGGGTTATTTGTCCCCATAGGTTTCTCCAGTTTGGATTTTGCTGCCGCATCCCATGCGGTTGTTGTAACGTGTCCCTCTGTCCTCTGTTCTCCTGTTGGTTGGAGTTGGATCTAGAGACCCAGTCAGGTAGAAGTTCAGGCTTTTGCAGAAGCGCTACCTGGGCGGTGGTGGTGTGCTCTTACGTCCAGAGGTACCATCTGATGGTCTCTTTGTGTGGTGTGTGCAGCTGTGAAGGTCAAAGCCAAGATCTAGTCCTCCACCCTGTTAAAACCACTCCGCAAGGCCATTGGCCGGTGCTCAGCTACAGGCCCGATCTCACACAGCCGGTGTGTAGCAGCCCCTTCCATTGGGAGTCTGGGCCAGAAGTTTGCAGGGTTTTTCTTCCTCTGCCTTCTTTCCTCAGTTATGCTCTTAGAAGCCATTCTCAGGAGTAGAACGATCACGGCCAAGGGTAGAGTGTTTATTAGGCCAGACTCTGTGCCATGTTGCTTTTCAAAGGGGCCTGTATGCATTTACTCTCCACCCATCCAGCCCATGCAAACCAGCTACACCGTAACCTCCCAGGTTTCTGCAAGGAGTGGGCTGGAGATTTGTTCTTACTGGGCCTCACTCTGGCAGCGTACTCCCTGTCGTCCAGTCTGGGGGCGGGAGGCAGGGGGATCTGTTCGTCAACCCTTCAGAGTTAAAAAGGCAGTCCAGAAAAGACTTTTAATTGGAGGGGGAGAAACACAAAACCAGCTTAGAATAGTCAGAGGTTGGGCAAGCTTCCCTAGAGGGGAAACTCCTTATTTTGTTTCAACCTATTACAGAAGTATGTGTGTTCATTCTAGAAGATTTTCAAAAACGACATTCAAAAAAAGAAGAAAAACACAAAACCATCCAAAGTTTTCTATTGCCCAACAACATAAACACAATTTGGTATATACCCTTTATTCTGTACTTTGTTTTAGGTTTCGATTTAAGCTGGAGTTGTTTTGTTTTGCCTTTTTCACATGATAAATCAACATTTTCCATAACAAATTACACACCATCTAGCTTTTACCGCCTGCATCGTAGTCCATTGTCTGGTGCCTTGAGATGTTACCTAGGCCCTGTCATTCCGCGTCCACATGGCCTGAAGCTTTGGCGCTGTGCCTGGGGCCATGCTGAACATTCCAGCGCAAGCATCTCCTGGCCCGGCTTTGATCCTTTCTCTGGGATAGATTCCCTGCTGTGGGTTTTAGGGTCCTCTCTGCCCAGCACATACAGTGTCTGTCCCCCACGGGTGGCTCACTGCAGGGCTTGCCGCACCCCCCACCTCGGGGGATCCTCTGTCTTTGTCCCGTCATTGCCAGCCTCCGCCTTGCGCTCACCTGTTTGTGACTTGTGAGAGAGGAATCTGGCTTGCTTTAACTCTGAGCTGAGCCACACCAGCTGGAGCTCGAGGGCCAGCCCGCGAGCAGCGTGCCCTTGAATCTGATTTCCTTAGGAAGGGACGTGACCGAGCAGGCCATGAGCAGAAACATCCCATGACCATTTACAACACCGACGTTCAGCTTTTATTCCTTTTTTTTTTTTTTTTTTTTTAATAAATGTTAGGAACACCTTTTGGAAAACGTCGTACTTTTAGAATAGCATTCTTAGTTTGACTCACTCTGTGTGCCTTAGTCAGCAGCTTCCTTGCTGAATGAATGCATACTGTGTGCTTGGCCCCCGTACCAGGAGCCCAAGATACAAGAATAAGTGAAAATGTGAATCTCCCCTCCAGCAGCCCTGTCTGACAGTGTGATCTACTCTTACATAACACGTAGAGCCGGCCGGGGCCTGCTGACAAATCCTCTCCCTGTACTGACTCATGTTTTAGAAATCAGGAAGGTGAGGCACAGGGAGGTTGTGTAACTTGCCCAAGATCTCACGGCAGGTAGGTACGTGGTGGAGTGGCCTTGGGGACGTGACCGTAGGGTCTTAGGTCCTACTAGTATAGCTGTGGGTATCGTTCCACAGACCGGAATCCCCCTGCTGCGCAGTAGTCCGGCCCCAGCCACATAGGGAACGAGGGGGGCCTGCCTAGGATCTCCTCCCATACATATTAAGTAGGCAGAAAACAAAGTTGCACAGTATGTGAAAATCCCATAATGTGGGGGTTTTTTAAAGAGACATTCATTAAGTACAAGGACCTGTCTCACCAAAATGTAGCAGAGGTTACCTCAGAGGATTGGGGTGGGTGAGGGGAGAAGTCTTTCATCTCTTACCTTATGTAGCAAATGAAACGTATGGACGTGAGGAATTCATAATAAATTATGATACTGAACAGAACAGCACCCAACATTAAAAAGCTTGTACTGCTGTTAAAGGAATTTTATTGACCTGGAAAATACTCTTCTTAAAGTTGTATATAGATAAAAGCAGATAAAAGTTTTATCTATGGAAAACGTACAGAGAAGTCCGGAAGGAAATATGACCCATTACTGTATCTTTTTAATGTTTATGTGTTTGGAGGGGGAGGGCCACAGAGAGGGGGACAGGGGATCCGAAGTGGGCTCTGCGCCGACAGCAGAGAGTTTGATGTGGGGCTCAAATTCCCAAACCTCGAGCTCCTGACCGGAGCCAAAGTCGGATGCTTAACCGACTGAGCCACCCAGGTGCCCCTGTCCCATTACTTTAAATGGCTGCATTTAGGTAGTAGGCTTGTGGAAAACTTAACTCTATAACCTGTTTGTATTATAGTTGGGTGTTTGTTTGTTTTTTTAATTTAAATAGTTACTATGTAAATTCTGGATTCATTTGGATATCCCATTCCTACGTAACTGAGGCACGAAATACACACTGTAATGTGTGCACCTGGGTCTGGCCCCGGAGCGGGCACTCGGTGTCCCTCAGTCCTCCTGGGGGCTGGCCGCGGGGACAGCACTTCCCCACCTCGTGGTCCCCTCCAGTGACCTCCCTCTCTGTGGTTCCTTCCCACAGTGGCACTAAGGAAAACCGAAACCAGCCATCACCTCTCCCTGGACAAAGCCAACATCCCGCCCGAGCTCTTTCAGAAGTCCCCACAGTTAGCAGAGCTACCACAGAAGCCACCGCCCGGAGACCTGCCCCCGAAGCCCGCTGAACTGGGTCCCAAGCCCCCAGTTGGAGATTTGCCTCCGAAGCCGGGAGAACTGCCCCCCAAGCCGCAGCTGGGCGACCTGCCGCCCAAGCCGCAGCTGGCAGACCTGCCCCCTAAGCCGCAGATGAAGGACCTCCCTCCCAAGCCGCAGCTGGGAGACCTGCTGGCCAAGTCCCAGACGGGGGACGTGTCGCCCAAGGCCCAGCAGCCCCCAGACGTCACCCAGAAGCCACACCCGGTGGATCTGGCCCTGAACGTGCAGTCCCGGGACGCCGTCCAAAAGCAGGCATCCGAAGACTCCAGCGACCTCACGCCCACCCTGCCCGAGACGCCCGTCCCGCTGCCCAGGAAGATCAATACGGTGGGTAGGCGCCGGGGGCGGCGCGGAGCCTCGCGGGAGGGCGCGTGATCTCGGGCACAGACGCACGGGCCTGCTTGTCCCGGCCGTGGCCCAGGCATCGAGCCAGAGGGGGCCGAGCGGTCAGGGACACGGGCGTGGCACCAGGACCTGGGCCCGTTACCTGCCCTCCCTGAGCCTCAGTTTCCCCGTACACAGAAAGGAGCTAATGCGGTCACCGGGCTAGCTCATGGGCAGTTAGGTGCAGGGACAGTGGCACCAAGCTGTCACCTTGCAGACACTCACCGGAGGACGAGAGTCTCCCTTTCCTGGGGTCACAGGGGGGCGGGCTCCCTCTCAGGACGCAGAAAATCTGCTCCGTGCTTCTCGCCGCGTCTTCCTGGAGGACGTGGAGGCAAAGCCCAAGGGACTTGCACGGGCAGAATTCGGTTGAAATCTCACGGTCTCTCGTTTTCATGAAATGCTTCTTGCTCGATAATATACTCGTTTTATTTTAATATAAAAATGCTTTTTGCCCAAAAAACCCGTTTTGGGGAAGGTGCTCCAGGAAGACTCCGCATGCCATCGGTGGGGGCCCTGGCGCCCCAGGCTGAGGAGCGCGGCTAATGAGCGAGCAGAGCGACCTCCCACCGCGCACGACGGTTCTGCCCTCTCTGGTGCTGAAAACAGCATCGCAGCACAATGTGTCCCTGCCGCCCCAGAGTACAGGGAGGGCAAACAAGCCGTTCTCCCCCGGCGTGGAGGCCGCCACGTGCAGTGTGGCAGGCGTGCTCGCCCTTCACAAAGTCCGCCCCCCCACCACCCCGAGAGCCGGGCGCCGCTGCTGGCCTTGCCGTGCGCAGAATTCCAGCCACGCTGCACGCTGCACGGTCGTTCTGCGCCCTTGTTTCGTCGTCCCCGTTGTAAATTCTCACCTACTGGCCATGGCTGAGCCGCCTCGGGCACCAGTCCGAGCCGCGCTGGCCCCAGAGGTGCTGCAGAAAGGAGGGGGTGGCCAAGGGACAACCCAGAGCACAGAGAGGAGTCAGCTGACCCAAACTCAAGAGGCACAGCTCGCCTTTTTTGGTTTATTTGTTTCTGAGAGAGAGAGAGACAGAGCTTGAGCAGGGGAGGGGCAGGGTCAGAGGGAGAGGGAGACACATTATCCGAAGCAGGTTCCAGGCTCCGAGCTGTCAGCACAGAGCCCAACGTGGGGCTTGAACTCATGAGCAGTGAGATCATGACCTGAGCTGAAGTCGGACGCTTAACCGACTGAGCCACCCAGGCGTCCCACAGCGTACTTTTTATAACACTCATTATTTAACGAGCTAGCACCAAAAACCTCCTTTCGAAGGTGATTTCTCTCTTTCCATCTTTCTGTTTGCAAAAAACCAGAACAGATAAAAGCCTAAGGGAAGTGATCAAACATTAAGACATTGTTGGGAACTGCCTGGAAGCCTCCCTTCCCCCAACCGCCCCCCGCCCCCCCAGCCTGCTGCGTCCTGGTCACCCAGCGTGTGCTGACTGGGTACTTTGCGTGAGGGACAGAAATGTGTTTATGCCGTGCGCTCAGTCTGCAGAAGATGCACATTCTCCTTTACATCATGTTTCCTGGCACCGTTTCACACTCTGCTGTCAGCTCTGCGAGCTGCTGTGGGGGAGGGCAGGGCGCCTCTTGGCTTTCTGTGAAGCTACATTTTGATCCCCGCCCATAGTTTGCTTCCTGGTGAAAAGGCTGGGCTCACACAGCACCTGGGCGCCCCGCAAAAACGCCTCCCCTCCGACGGGAGAAGTCGAGGCTCAGGGAGGTTAAATCTTGTGCCGGGGGTCAGTGTATCCCTGTTTTCAGCTAAAACCCAGTTTCTTTATCGAAGGGCAAAAACAAGGTGAGGCGAGTGAAGACCATCTACGACTGCCAGGCGGACAACGACGATGAGCTCACCTTCATGGAGGGGGAAGTGATTGTGGTCACCGGGGAGGAAGACCAGGAGTGGTGGGTACGTACCAGGTGCCAGGGGGAGGGGCCCGCCCCGCGGGGAGGAGCAGCGCCCGGCGCCGGGATCCTACCCTCCAGCGTGGTCGCTGGGTGCCTTCTGTCAGAACTGTTGTGCTAGAAACAGAGCCGTCGGGCTTCGGAACTGGGTCAGGAGAACTAACATGTGCGTGTGCTTTACCCTCGTTATCATGTCCCCCCCCCCCCCCCAGGAACTGTGGGTGTTTGCAGAGGCGGGAGCGTCTCTGACCTCGAAGCCTGAGTGCTCTGCTCCCCAGTCCCCGCCGTCCTGGGCTTAGGCTCGGAGCCCAGATCCCTGTTTACCGCTGCCCCGACCTCAGGCTCCGTCCTTAATCCACCTGCAGCCCTGTCTCTGTAAAGTGGGCCATCGGACCTTCCTCCCGTGATTTTAGAGAATTAAACGAAAATATCTGTACAAATCCCTTTTTCATCAAAACCTGCTGCCCAGGTGTCAGGACGGAAAGGCACCGTCACCCTCACGCAGCGGCTGTTTGGAGATTCTTGGTGGCTGTGAGGGCGGCTGGCGGGTCTGTGCTGTTCTGGCTGTGGGCCTCCCGTGACCACTGGCCGGAGGCAGCGGGGATGGCGGCCTCTGCTTGTTCCCAGCATCAGCACGGGGCTCTGCTGCCTCAGCAGCCTGCACCCTACCTGCCCAGAGGGACCCTGTTCTGACTGCTGGGCAGGGACCTGTTGAGCCAGCAGCGCCTGCTAGGGCCCAGAAACACACGTGCACGTACACACACGCACACACACACACACACACACACACACACACACACAGGTGGGCTCTGAAGACCCTGTGGGAGTCATTCACGTGCCCTGTGGCCTTGGATGAGGCATGTCCCTTCTGGAAGCCCGTTTCCTGCCCAGAAATGGGACATGAGTAACCCCGCCTCACAGGGATGTCCTTTGATGATACTTTTCTGTTATAAGCGAGAGGTCATCAGATCCCTTGCTAAGAAACTGGTGACGACAGCAGAGGACCCAGAGGGAGTGAATGGAAAGTTTTTAGCGTCAGCACACCCGCCAGAGCAGGCGTAACAATGATGCGCCCATGCTGCACCCCTGCACCCCCCCCCCCCGCCCCGGTCTCAGATGGGCTGCACCGTCTCGGGCCTGGCACCAGCTGAGGAAGACCGCCTGAGGGGAGCAGGTCAGGTCTTATATTAGCTCCACCTCCGGGATGAGAAATCTGTGCCCCGCAGCCCGGGCAGCTGCCCAAGGTCAAAAAGTCGGTAAATAAAAGGGACCAGCCCCTGGGCTCGCCCCATAGCTTCTGCTCCAGCCACCGTCCACCCTGCGGTTTGTCATAGATGGAAATGAGAGGTGGCCTGGCCCTTAACGCCACCATCCACCTGCTCTGCTTCTGTCATTTAAAGCCAGTGTGCATGTCCTACCCTTTGTTTGGAAGGCTCAGGACAGGTTTCTCCTCACGCTGTTAACAGGGACTCACTGAGCCAACTCGGAGGTTCTTACTGGGCACCGTGGCTCACCGGCAGGCAGCAGGCAGTAAAGTGGCCCAAGGCCACCATCCGTCTCAGACCTTAACAGCTCCCTTCCCCCCACGGCAGCCAGAACACAGGCCTGGTCCATAAGCAGCCCTTCCCGTCTGTGTGAGTTTTCAGATAACCTCACAACAGTCTTGAGAAGAAAGGGTATTTTAGCCCCAGTTTTCAGACAAGAGGCTCAGCACGGTCTGTGTGAGGTGGCTCAGCGGGAAGGCAGTTGAGCACGCTGGTTGAGGGCATGGAATCTGCAGCCCGGGAGGGACTGCGGGCGGGTCCTTAGGCTCCCTGGGATGCTGGGATCCCAAGCATGGCCCCTGGGGGCTGCCGTGTGGGTGCCGCCAGAGCCTGGAGAAGTACTGAGTGGGTCGCACCTTCTGCTGTCATTACTGTGCGTACTTCACTGTCATTAGTGCCCTGTATCTCACCGGGGACGGGTGGGGGGGGGGTGGGGGGAGGCCTGCGGTGCACCCAAGCCAGTGGGCCGACTCTGCGGGCTCTGATCCACGGGCCCGTGTCACGACAGCCACCGGCCGCCTCCATCCTGATGACGACTCTCCTTCCTCCCTGCAGATCGGGCATATCGAAGGACAGCCTGAAAGGAAGGGGGTCTTTCCAGTGTCCTTTGTTCACATCCTGTCCGACTAGCAAAGTGCAGAACCTTGAGATTGTCCACGTCTCCGCTCAAGACTGCCGCCCCCGCGTACCCCTGCGCACCCGTGTATATAGCTGCTGTTACAGAACCAGAGACTGGCGCCAGGGCCACCTCGGGAGGGGAGCGTAGTGCGTGCTGTAAATAGCCTGTGGTCCTCTGCCTTCGCCAGCGTTAGGGTAGCCCCGGGACCCGGCGCGCCTTACTGGTCCGCCAAAGCCATCCTCGGCCCCTAGCACTTACATCTCTTGGTGTTTTCCTAGCAAACGGACAAACACAGGAATATAGGAAGCGCTGGCCTTGCAAACAGACGTGGTCTCCAGCAAACCGTTGAAAGGCATAGATTGACTCTGTGTTCCTAACAAAACAGTATTCTCCGTTGTGTTACTACACATGCAACGTTAGGAGAGAGGTAGGTTCTGTTCTCCGGGTGAAACATTTAGCTCCGTGACAGACCAGCCTGTAGTGATCTGCGTTCACAGTTTACAGCTACAAAACAAACCCACTTTGGTATTTATTACAGCGAAGTGCTTGGTTAAACATAAGTGTTATTCCTTCTGCAAAATATTCACCGGCCCAAACCCTTTGGTGGCATTCGGCAGGCCTCTCCGCCTCGTGCAGGCCGGGCACGGCCTGTGCAGCCTTTCTTACCGTGACGAGTGCCCGCCCCTGAGATATTACCTCATTCTGCAGAAATAACATATCCTTCACGACCTTTTTGACAAAAGCTTAAAACCCATTTGGTGAAGTTCAACTTCCAGGAACCGAGGACCGCCAGGAAACCTTAGCCTCTACATTATGCATGCATTTAGAAGCTTACCTGAAATCTGCCTTTTATAAAGGAATAGTATGGACAAGTTGGACTGTACATTTTTTAAACTTGATCACCATTAAAGCAGAAATTATAAGGTTGCAACAATACCTGTTTCTAGTCCGTCGTTTGGCCTTCCCGGAGTGTGAAGCTGCCTCTCACATTAACAGTTAGCCTCCTCCCAATGTGTTAAAGCATCTGATGCACCAGGTTATTTTGTCCTTATTTTGTCAGTTTTGTCCTTGATCGATTTAAACGTGTGAAAGAGGATTCAAGATGAGTTGCACAGTCAGCCCTTCACACGGCTCCCCCCGCCCCCAGAGACTCGGGGTGCTGGAGCCAGCCTCCTGTTTCTCCGTGCTCTTGACGACACCCCGGGCGTAGGCGAGGCCCCCAGCCTGAAGCTGTGTTCAGGGACCCGTTCCCTGCAAGGCGGTTCACGGCCGAGTGCCCGAGCGCCGCTGGGAACTGCTCTGAACGGGCGCTCTTCCCGCAGCCTGCGTCCCTGCGTGTTCCCTCCCCGTCCCGCTGCGGCCCCCAGGGCAACCCCGAGTGCTCAGTCTTCGTCAGTCTGGGTTCTGAAAACGCGTTCTGTCCAGCATCCCCAGTGGGCGGGGCCGCCCTCCGGACCCCAACGCCCCCGAGTCCTTGTGGCTTCACATTCGCTTAGACTGCTTTGTGGGCAGCAGCACCGGAAGCTGGTGTTTTTAAGCAGGGAACCTCGGCCGTGCGTCGTCGAGAAGCTCCTTCCCCAGAAGCACAGCTCCCGCCCGAGCCCGTGGGAAAAGCGCCTGGACCACAGTCCCAGTGCTCAGTGACGGTCACCCGGCCACCTCCAAGAGAAGCCTCGCATGAACGGAGCTGCGCCCACCGCCTCTCGGCTGTTCCTGGGCAGTGGTTTGGAGCCGCGGCGGCCCGGGAGCTGTGCACGGCCCACCAGCGCCCGGGGCCACAGGCTGACGTGTCCCAAGCCCCCTGGCGTCCTGCTTCATTCGCGTACGCGGTCTGAGTTGCATTAAAGAACCGTTCGTCTTTGTGGCCTACAGTATTTTCAGCCGATCTCAGAATAAACTGGTTTTCTAAAAAACTCGAAACCTAGATGTCTAAAATCACATGGAGTCCTTGTCTGTGCTTTTTCCCTCCTTTGCAGCAACTTACACAGATGCGTTGTTTTGTTTGGTTTTTCAATACCTTCCGTGTTTTTTTTCTTTCCAGTTCGGTTTTTGTTTTCCGTGAGGAAATCTCTCTAATCCAGCTTACCGTGGGACATAGGAAAGCTAGAGATAAATATCTTCGGTGACCTTGGTCGAGTTTGAATCTGATACTGTTCTTAAACTCAGTGAGCCACTATCTGCAATTTTGTACATGATATAGTATTTTGAAGGTATGGAACCTTATGGGAAAAAAATAGTTAATTAGTTCTTTTTTCCCCCAGAGGGGAAAGTTACGTTCTGCAAATAGCCTGTGTCTTATTTTACTGTTGAACAGCAATTGCTATTTATTTTTTTATTGCCTAGAACTTCTCCACGTTGTATAGGAACCCTGTAGTGCCGCTAGATAAACTCCAGACTGTCATCTGGGTGTTACCATGAGACATCAGTACGCTTGTCATTTCACATGGATTTAATGTGACCGTTTTCAGTACTGTATGTGTTCATTTCTACTTTTTTTAATATTTAAAATTGCTTTTAAATAAACATATTCTCAGTTGATCCCAAACATCTGAAATCAAGCCGTTTTGTGAGTCGTCCACTCTGTTGCATTCAGAGAGAATCAGGACTCTGCTTGGCTGGGGGTGGGGGCGGGGGCAGATGACACAGGCCATTCCAGCTCCTGGGTAAAAGCTCACTTTGGAGACATAAAAATGTCCATCGCTTTGCTGGGTTTACAAAACGAAAGTCCTCAGCATTTTGCCCACTCCCCCCCCATCCCCGCTCCCACCTCCATGCACCTCCAAACTTCTTCGTTTTATGTGAAGAGGGGAGGGCCGTGCCCAGGCATCACCACCAGGCAGGGAGCAGACCCAGGGCCAGGCGCTCGGCCCACATGCTCTCACCTGACCCTCAGGCCAGCCAGAGGCACGTACCTCTCAGCTTTACAGAGCCCAAAAATGAGGCTCCGGAAGGTTCTCTGCCACGCACGATGTGCCACGGCTGGGAGACGACGGAGTCCAAGTCCAAACGAGTGGTTCTGGCCCCGGCACTGCCCCAGGATCCATGGCAGCATTCAGGCGGGAGGCGGAGGTGGAGAACCGCGGAGGCTCCAGCCCCGAAGACCAGGGGCGGCCTGGTACTCCTGCGGCCTCCTCGGTTTCCGGTTTCCTTGGTGGTAGGTGTTGGTGCCCACTCACACCTACACCGGGGAAACCCTACAAACCGTGCTGCGGGGCAGGTGGGCTTTGGCGTGGACACCAGGGACCACCGGGCTATTTCTGGGACAGGCTGATGTAATGATCCGGATAATTCAGGCAGAGGGGCAGCCGGCTTTCTATCTAGTCGGTGTGACAGTGGTTACGTCGGTTCTATATGGTTTTAAACCTGGTTCCTTGTCTGTCTGGAATTAACGGCCCCTCCAGGATGCTGCGAGCTGCGGACATTCGGCCAGAAGCCAGAGGAACCTCAGATCTCCCTGCCTTGGGTCCTTTGAACTTGATGGTCGAGGAGCCTGTTTCCTGTCTTGTGCACTCAGCCCCCTGTGCGGCCACAGTCCTCACGAAGCATATCTTCAGATGAGGAAATGCGCTCCCCCGCCTGAAGGGACTTGCTCAAGGTCACGCAAGGCAGCAGCATGAGCCCAAGTCCTTGTGGCCTCAGCAAGAGCCTCCTCCCACCCCCACTCCCTGCCCTACTCCTTCCTCCTCTTCCCCAGCCCTCGGTCTTCTGGAATGTGCATCCACGTGTAGCCTGGGTGGGACAGTGATTTTAATTCAACCTCTCCTACTTGGCCCCCTCCCCCACACGTGTCCTCACCCATCCCGGCTGTTGTCTGACCTTTCCAGGTGTCTGTATGTAGGTGACTCAAACCTGATGCACCCCTCCACCCCCACCCCGTGTCTGCCCGTGACCACGTGCTCACTGGCGCGGCCCCACAGCAGCAGCCCAGGCTGTAGGGAGGTTACCTTATCCATAAATATCTGAGCTCGCACGTTCCCCAGATATTCTCTGTCTATGTGTTGAGACGCTGCCAGGCCTGTGGTTGCAAAGACGAACCCCAAAGCTCTGTCCCTGAGAAGCTCTCAGGGAGTGGGGGGCCCACCCGGTGGGGAGCATCCCTGGGGACCTGGGTCTGCGCCCCTGCTACAGGCTGAGTGGGTGAAGGCAGAGCGCTCACGGGGAGTCTGGCTGGAGAGGGTTACCCCCCTACTACAGCTGGAGCGGGGCTCCCCCGGAGTAGCGGGGACCCCGCCAGCCACCAGCAACGGCTCACCTTCACTGAGGCCCTGGTGCACGGCCAGGCTCCTCTCTAGCACCGGGAACCTGACTAGTCTCTTCCCCGCTTTAAAGACGAGCAGGCCGCTGCAGCTGAGGGAGGTCAAGTCGTTACTTGCCAAAAGTCAAGTTGCTGCCGAAGGGTGGGGACCAGACTAGAACCCTGAGGTCGGGGCCCACGTGGCTGGTAGCCGTGACCCCATGCTGCCTGTGTGCTGCTACTGTGTTCCCTGGCTGCCCTTTCTGAAGGGAGCTTGGGTCAATGCCAACCCACCCCCAGCCTTCTACAAACAGGTTAGCCCGTCCAGCAGGTGTGAACCGCGAAGTGCAGTGAAGCCGGCCGCTCAGGGGGCCCTGCAGGGAGTGTGTCTTAGAGCCACTCTGGAGCGAAAGCCGGAGTCAGGCTGGCACGCGGGGGCTCCTGGTGCATGTACAAGTGACCGGGAAGGCAGCAGTCGGGCCCGTGTGCAAACACTGAAACACTTAAGCTCCTGAAAACAGGAATTAAAGCTCAGATAAACACAGCTGTTTTGCAAAAATCTTACTACACGGCAAACCCTTGGCCGGGGCTCAGGAGGCCAAAACTTCGACCTGCAAGATGGCCTGGGGAGAAGCCTTGCTTGGCTTCGCACTGCCGTGGGCAGAGTTTTACATTTTGCTTCGTAGGCCCAAGCGGATCTGAGAACAAGAGGTAGCAAATGTGCCGCCTGCACGCTGAAGTCTGTTAGGGCCTGGTTCTCGGGCGTGGCGGCTACCAGGGGGCCTCAGTAATAACGTCAGACTCCGGGGCCCTGTGCCCAGAGATTCAGGGGCATTCGGAGCCTGCATCTGGCCGGCATCCCAAGGTGATCCCCACGCACCAAGGGAGGGCACAGTCCCTGTCATCCCAGGGACAGGCGAGAGACCAGAACCACAAACGTATGCAATGCTGCACACGCATTGCTAAGTATCCCTGCTAAGTATCCCTGCTAAGTGTTCCTTGAATGAGTGAACGCAGGAATCCTGGCAAAGGCACCGCTGTTGAAAGCGGCGGTGGGTGGGTGGGTGGGGGGGGGGAGATGTCATATTAGCAGGGGAAGCGTCGTGCTTTCAAAGGCACGGGGGAGCACCCGCCCCAGCGAGGGCCAAGGCCGGGGAGCCTCTGATCTACATTTGCTCTGCCCACTTGCACCGCATATTGCTGACTCCCACCCAGTAAACAGGCGGCTTGACAATGGACCTCTTTTTATGGTGCTCTAAGCTGCAGAGCACAAAGGTTCACAAGCATGCATTGTCCAAATGTGCAAGCCTAGTTCCTGCTCGGCTGGAACCGCTTAGAAAACTCCGACGCCAGGACTCCCCTGGCCTGCCCCACCGCCCGTACCAGCAGTTACTTCCCTATCGGGACCCGTTTCACGGCTCTAGAAAGAAAACTCTAGAGGTGACAGAGCAGCAAGTGCACTCTGGCTTACTGCTTTCCCTTCCAGGCCAGTGTCGGCGGCCTGGGGTTCACTTTCCCACTCAAAGCCAAGGCCTGGTCTGGTCTGTGCCAAAGTGGAAGGTGCTGGGGTGGTGAGCCGGCTCACAAGGAGAGGGGAAGGTAAGGCAGAAAGCAGAAAATAGAGTGAAGGGGAGGTTGGCTGAGAATCTGTCTACTGAAGCTGAACATTCCTCGGAACCCATAGACACCCCGGGAGAAAGGTGTGCACAGGCTGGCGGAAAGATAGCATGTCCTTAGCGAGACTATTGGAATAGCAGAGACCTGGAAACTGTCCAAATGTCCATCAACAGTGCAGTGGCCGTGAACCTGGGGATTCATCGCCCAATGTGATGAGGATGATCACTGTCCAGACAATAGAGATGAATGTCCCAATGTTGAGTGCAAGGCACCAGGCTCTAAAGAGTTCACCTCCAATTCCCTATAACAAAAAGAAACAACGTATCTATGTGGTTACAAGTCAGAATTGCGGTTGCCCTTGGGGCACCTGGGTGGCTCAGTCCGTTGAGCATCCAGCGTCGGCTTAGGTCATGATCTCATGGTTCGTGAGTTCAAGCCCCTTGTCGGGCTCTGTGCTGACAGCTAGCTCAGAGCCTGGAGCCTGTTTCAGAGTCTGTGTCTCCGTCTCTCTCTGACCCTCCCCTGCTCACACTGTCTCTCTCTCTCTCAGAAATAAATAAAAACGTTAAAAAAAAAAAAAAAAAAAAGGATTGCAGTTGCCCAAAAGGAATCCTGAAGGGGACGCTGGGGGACAGACTTTGGGGTGCAGATACTATTCTATTTCTTTCTCCGGGCGCTGTTCACACGCTTCTTCAGTTGGTGAAAATTCATTGAGCTGTTCCCTTCTGATATGTGTATGTTCCTGCGTGTGTTATTCTCAGGGGCATGCTGGTAAATGTGTAGCCAGCTCTGAAAAAAAGAAAATATTTAGAAGCCCTTATCTGTAGCATTTCCCAATTCTGGCCGTGTAAGTACTTCTAGCACGGCTGATTACAAACTGCTAACATGATGCCCCTGAATGTCAGGCTGGGAAAAAAGGCAGGGACTGTCCAATCCATCCTTGCAAGTTGGGTTGAGCCAGCTCCGTTGTACCTCAACAAAAGGTTTTTGTTGTGTTTTGTTTTGTTTCAAATAAAGCCTGGGTGGTCAGTAAAGCCCAGGACTCTTGATCTCAGGGTTGTGAGTTCAAGCCGCAGAATGGGCATGGAGCCCACTTAAAATAAAGGTTAAAAATAATAATAAAGGGGCACCTGGGTGGCTTAGGCGGTTAAGTGTCTGACTCTTGATTTTGGCTCAGGTCATGATCTCACAGTTCGTGGATTCGAGCCCTGCCCAGGGCTCTGCTCTGACAGCACAGAGCGTGCTTGGGATTCCCTCTCTCTCTTTCTCTCTCTCTCTCTCACTCTCTGACTCTCCACCCACTTGTGAGTGCAGTCTCTCTTTCTCAAAAATAAACATTAAAAAAAATATATCTTTAAAAATAATAAGGGGTGCTTGGGTGACTCAGTCAATTATGCGTCCAACTTTAGCTCAGGTCATGAGCTCACGTTTCATGGGTTTGGGCTCCGAGCTGTCAGCATAGAACCTGGAGCTGCTTCTGATTCTGTGTCTCCCTCTCTCTCTGCCCTTCCCCCAGTCATGCTCTCTCTCTCTCTCGCTCTCTCTCTCAAAAATAAACATTAAAAATTTTTAATTAAAAAAAAAATAAAATTAAAAATTAAGTCTACTAGAATGCAGATGTGGGCCCCTGATGGCCTAGCTACCTGCTTAACACCTCTCATCTACCTCCCCACTTCTCTTCTTTTTAAAATATATAACAGCTTGGGG